CTTGAAAGGTCATTTCATAATCAGATGAGTTGTTATCAGAATCAACATGTTGCCTGAATGCAAGCTTTTCAAGAGCTTATACTATTGAGTTTTATTCTCAAGAGGTTTTGTGACATTATATCTACATCCACATTTGTCAAAGATGATAGATTCTCTGATTTGAAGAAGACAGATCTATTGGGTTTTTACAATTGAAGAAATACTCAATTCACCAGTCTGAAATCAAAACAACTTAATATTCATGCATCATATTTAGGCATTTGCAAAAATAGATGCATTTTCATTCATTTTTATTCTTGTTGAATTCTGACAGGAATTCCAAAGATTTTAGCGAAGATTTAAATCCATTATTCAATGGATCAATTTTTCCAGTTCGAGTTCATAATGAGAAGAACTCATCTGAAGAAGGAAGAAGAAGTTCATAATGAGAAGAATTTGTTCAACCTTTTTGCTTAAATCTATCACTTGATGGATTATTTTTTCCAGTTCGAGTTCATAATGAGAAGAACTCATCTGAAGAAGGAAGAAGAAGTTCATAATGAGAAGAATTTGTTCAACCTTTTTGCTTAAATCTATCACTTGATGGATTATCTTTTCCAGAGAAAGTTCATAATGAGAAGAACTCATCTGAAGAAGGAAGAAGAAATTCATAATGAGAAGAATTTGTTCAACCTTTTACCTGAGTCCATCATTTGATGGATCAGCCTTTCCAGAGAAAGTTCATAATGAGAAGAACTCATCTGAAGAAGGAAGAAGAAGTTCATAATGAGAAGAATTTGTTCAACCTTTTACCTGAGTCCATCATTTGATGGATCAGCCTTTCCAGAGAAAGTTCATAATGAGAAGAACTCATCTGAAGAAGGAAGAAGAAGTTCATAATGAGAAGAATTTGTTCAACCTTTTACCTGAGTCCATCATTTGATGGATCAGCCTTTCCAGAGAAAGTTCATAATGAGAAGAACTCATCTGAAGAAGGAAGAAGAAGTTCATAATGAGAAGAATTTGTTCAACCTTTTACTTGAATTCATCAATTGATGGATTATCTTTTCCAGAGAAGTTCATAATAAGAAGAACTCATCTGAAGAAGAAAGAAGAAGTTCATAATAAGAAGAACTTGTTCAACTTTTTGCATAATTCTATCACAGAAGGAGATAGATTAGCATCAGCCTTTCTAGATAAAGTTCATAATGAGAAGAACTCATCAAGAGCTTATTCAACCTTTTGAATGACTCTATCACAGAAGGGAGGTTATCATCATCCCCAGCAGAAAGTTCATAATAAGAAGAACTTATTTGGAGAGAGAGAAGAATTTATTCAATATCTCCATTATGATCAAAGTAAAGTCAAATGGATAAAAAATTTTATTATCTTTTCATCTTTGCCCTATTCTTGTTAACACAAGAATGAGCAAAGAGGGGCAGCTGAAGATATTAATTTTTTATCCATTATTATTATTATTATTATTATTATTATTATTATTATTATTATTATTAATATTATTATTATTATTATTATTATTATTATCATTATTATTATTATTATTATTAATATACATTAAACATATATATATAATAATTACAGACCAATTACAACTGGACCGGCCCGGTTACAAACAAACCAGAACCGGTCCAGATTAAACCTAACCCTAATTTCCTAACCCTAATTTCCTCAGCCGCCATCTTCAATCCCAACCGTTGGATCTGGTTTGATCCAACGGTCCACAGTTTGCCAGAGGAAACCCTAGGGTATCTATACCCTAGGGACACGTCCCAGCGCCGCCGCCGCTGCTTCCAGAAGCTTTCACTGCCGACACTTTCTCGCCGCCTCCGTAGCCGCACACGTCTTCCCCAAACGGTGAGTCACCACTGGGAGTCCGGTGACTCACCAAAGAGCATTCTTCGGACCGGTCTGAGACGAACACCGGTGGTGGCTTTTCCACCACCCCAACCTGAAAAAGAAAAGGACAGAGACAGAGAGACACAGAAAAAAAAAAAGGGGAAAAGAAAAAGAAACAACAGAAACAGAGAGAGATACAAAAACTACCAACGATCCCAGTCCACAACAACAGAGCAAAAACAAAAACAGAAGGAAAAAGAGAGAAGAGAAGCTTACCAAGGAAGCCTTGACCATCGCCGGAAGCACTAAACATCGCCGGAGAACCGAAAATACCGAAGGTATTTTCATAGATTTACTCCGATTAGGAGTCTTTTTGGGGAAACAAAGGTTGGATTCGGTTTTAGGGTGTTTAGATCTACGTTTTAGGTGAATTTGGGGAATTTCCGACCACCGGAGGCGGTGGTCGGCGGCAGAATTCACGGCGGCAGACGGCTGCCGGATTCCCTCCGGTGAGGGAATCTAGAGAGAGGCCAGAGAGAATTCTGGCTCTCTCTCTGCTTGAGAGAGAAAAAAAAAGAAATGAAATGGCTGGCCCGAAGGGCCAGCCGGTTTGGACTATATAGTCCTTCCCGAACGACGTCGTTTCGGGAAGGACTATGCGCGTAATTATGAAATAGTTAAACCCCGTCCGCAGTCCTCCGTATTTGTAAACTTTACATTTTAGTCACTAAATTGAATTTATAATATTTATAATTCAGTCTTCGAATTTTAATTTCTTTTATTTTAGTCCTTCATATTAAAATAATATATTTAGGATAAATAACAGATTTAATCCCTTAATTTTAATAAATAATATTTTAATCCCTAGTTTATATTTTTAATTTATTTTATTCTAATATTCGAATTTTAGATAATTTTATTTTAGTCACTAAAAAATAAAATAATGAAATAACATATTTAATCCCTATAATTTTGATTAATTATAAATTAGATTTTTAATTTTATTTTTATTGTAATTTAGTCAGTTATTTTATATGTTTTCATTTATTTTATTGTTTTAGTAGTATTTGTATTTTTATATTGTTAAATATTTTTATATTCATAAATATATAATAGTATTTTTTAAATATTTATTTTTAATATCGAAGAAAAGGACAGTCTTAATACAACTGGATGTCCTATTCTGATATTTTAAAATTAAAAGTAAATAATATTATTTAAATTAATATTTATCAATATCAAGAAAAGAGCTGTCTTAAGGCACCTAGAAGTTCTTTTCGGATATTTTTAAATAAATAAATATTTTTTATATATATAATTTTGAAATAATAGAATTATAAATTAAATATATTTTTGAATTTTTAAACTTTTAATAATATAGACAATTTATAATTAAAAAGTACCAATTTTGGGCGTTGTAGGGGTGCTAATCATTCCCTAAACGTAACCGACCACGAATCCCTTTTTATTATTAAAAAGAATGAATTTTTGGTTATAAACGCAGATCAGTTTATTTTTTTTATTGGTGTTTTATTTAAAACTCTTTTAAAAAAAATAATTTTTAGGTATTCGACCTACCTAACCCAAAAGGCCGATGGCGACTCCCAAATTATTTTCAAAATTATTTATTCACATCCATTTCCCCGCCAAGTATAATATTTCGTGCCCGGACGAAAACCGGTTACGACAACTCAAATGAAGATCTTTGAATAGAGGAATCTATAACATTAGGATCAGCAATTCTTTTTCAAAGGAATTGCATAATTCACTCTTTATTGATTAGTACCGGAGCAACCCGTTTTTGAATCACAACTTCAATAATTTCAGTTTCAGTTTTAGAAGTATCACCAACGGAAGGTATGTCGCAGGATGATTTAAGACACACCAGTTCAAGTAATTATGCTGCAAAATGTGAGGCGCTTATGTACACTGCTTCTGGTCTCAAATAATTCATTTGCGAATAAAAGAAACGTTTAAAATAAATTGACAAAAGAGTTGAAGTTAATTTATGTGATTTATACACTTCTTCCTCTATGGATTCCAACGAAACACTTGTAAATTTTGTAATGGTGCGTCGTGTCCGAAAATACGAAATTAAGTTAGATTTAAATTTTGTAATGGTCTATGGATTTTATTATTGAATTCTTGTTTTAAAAACAAATGAGTCACGGCAATTTTAAGTATTTAAACCTTTTTTATTTCTGATTTGGACCAAGAGTCGTATTCAATACAAGATTGACCGGTGTCAAAGTATTCCACCTTTATAAGATGGAAGAAGTGAGATGTCAAAGTATTCCGCCTCAATAAGAAGGAAGAATCGAGATGTCGAAGTATTAAAAGATAAATAGAGAGAAGAGGGTTTTATCCCTTTTTCGAGAGTTTCTTAATATTGGTTTCAGTTGTGGAGTTATTAGTACTTATAAGTTAGTTAACAGAATAGGTAATTAGTTGATAATAAAGTTAGTTAACAAAATAGGTAATTAGTTGATAATAGATTGTATTTGGTCTTAATATTGATATCAGTTATAACTACTTATAAGTTAATTACCAAACTAAGTAATTAGTTGATAATAGATTTTACTTCTTGTGACATACTTTCTAAAAATAACTTTTAGCCTATCGCAACAGCAATTTAATACACAGATTAGACAATGTTTCAAATAAAAATGTTTTCAAATCTTTTAAAGATCTGAAGGTGCATAAAAGATTTGGGAGGTACAAAAATGGAAAACTAAATTGGGCAGGGGCCGCGCGAACGCAGGCCCCCTCGATCACAAATTATGATGTACATTCTCCCGCTTGGGAGCTGTTAAGCTAGGCCATGGGCCTCCTTGATCGCCCATACGCCTCATCCAGGTAAGTGAGTTTAACGCTGCTACATACATCTGTTTTATAGATTCTCCTAGCACGCAGCTCGATGTGGGACAAGTAACAATTAACAAAAAAGTTTCTGAGACTTCAACTTGCGGGTTTGTTTTCCAAAAGAAGGGCTTCTGTCAACCCTTTTTGCTGTTAAGATAGTACAAGGTTCTGTTCTTTATATTTCTTTTACTGGTTTCGTTCCAAAGCTTGGTTGAAAAAAGTGTCGTTTTAGGGCTAATCAGAATATGTTTTTATTGGAAACAGGATCGAGAAGAACATAACCACACAATGGTGCTGTTATCTACATTAACATACTTATGATTATTTCAATGAGATCGACAAACAACATTAAGCTATTACATTATGTATTATGTTATGGCAATCCATATATAAGCAAAGGATCTTAGCCAATTCTAGGAGCACGTACAACCTGGCCGTTTCTATCAACCCAAACCCAGACCCTATCACACCTTGAGTCCTTGGTGACTGGAGTTCCATCCAGCAACACTATGGCGCCCACATCGGGATTCTCATTCTCGATCGTCGTCTTCGCACTCTCTCCGTTAGTTCCGACCAACTCCGGCCACGAGCTCTTCCCTATGCATTTCAAACAAGTCATTAATTAAACTCTATCCAACCAAAAATGTAAAGAAAAAACAACCTATATAAACTTAGTATTACCAGGAGGACACCCAGACATATTGCTTTCTCTTTCTCGCTTGGATTTGCTGAGTTGAGTGAGTTTCGAGTTGTTTCAGGCAGGAAATGTGTTTGAACTTTATATAGATGGTTTCGAACATCAAAGTGTGAACATCTCGGAGTAAATGGTACCAGATCCCAGCCGATATATTTGAATGCTCATAAAAAGTTTGGCACCGTCCATTTTTGTTTTCAATGCCTGATATTATGGCTAGCTAGCCCTGATTTGGGATTTGGCAAGTTCTTATCGAATTGAATTAAGGTTTCCCATTTATATCAGACTAGATCAAAGCAGGCTGCCAGTTGTAGTTTTCCTTCTTTTTTTAAAGTTTTATCTCCACGCTAATTCCCAGTGTGAACTGCTTCCATTCACAGACGGGATAATATCATCATTTTATTTAATTTATATATAAAAGCATAATTAGTTAGGGATGGGCATCTAACCCGAACCCGGCGGGTTCCGACCTGACCCGATCGGGTCGAATTTTTCTAAAAAAAATTATGTGGTGTTCGGGTCGGGTTCGGGTTTATGGTGAAAAAAATCCTACCCGACCAGACCTGGAAAAAATATATAATTTTACCCTATATATTTAGGAATAATTACAATAATACCCCTCCATATATTATTTTTTTCAATTTAGTCACTGTTTTTATTGAATAAAAATAATATTTTTATTATTTTGGGTCAGGTCGGGTCGGGTCGGTGAAAAATTAATTTCGTCGGGTCAAATCGGGTCACGGGTGGAGGTCCCCTTCTTCTCGGGTCGGGTCGGGTGGACCAAAAACCCGACTCAACCCGACCCATGCCCATCCCTATAATTAGTGCAAAACTAATGATACATTATGTATAGGTCAATGACATTGGATATAGTTTACCTAATAATTTTCTGCTGGTGCTTATAAGCATTTGTTAAGTGAACCATTATAATATGATTATGTAAAACTAAAGCTTCAAATGAGTACAACATTTGAGAAAAATGTTAGTATTCACAGTTGATAAGTAAATAACTCTTTCCACCATATGTATAGTATATGATTATAGAATATCATTTAAATTAAAATTAAATAATTTCATAATATTATAAATATTTATAATTAAATTTAAATAGAAACTCAAAAATTCGACTCGACTTGAATTTTATAAAACCGACTCGAGTCGAAAAAATTTCAAAGCTTATCTCTAGCCACCATAGATGATCTGTTGAGTTTGAATACTTCAATGCTTATCTCTTACCTTTGATATCAGATCGAATGTCAAAGCTTTCAAAAGTCCAAACTTCAAACAAAAGGGAAGCCCATTCAAAATAATCTCCTCTCCAAAAATTCAACGCCTCGGCAATCTATAAAAGACCTTCCCTCCGGATTTGCTTTCACAAAACAAAGAAAACCTAAGAGGACATTTGTATCAAAGAAAATGACAGATTGCAATGGTAAGCCTTTTGCTTCCCTTAGTAGTAGCTCAAATTAACAAATTGCGGGTTTATTTCTCTCAATAATTGTACCATTCAAAATTTTAAATATTTTTTATACTTTTTATTAATAATATGTTTTCATAAATTTTTATAAGTTTATCTCCTAAAATGAATGTTTACCGATGACAGATACAGGGAAGAGTTCGTGGCCGGAGCTGGTGGGAATCAACAGTCAAGTGGCGGCGCACATCATTGCAAAAGAGAATCCAAAGGTTAGCGTCCAAATCGTGAAAGAAGGAATCATGGTGACCATGGATTTCCGTTGCGATCGTGTGCGTGTTTGGGTGGACAAGTATGGAATTGTGAAGATGATGCCTCAAATTGGCTAAGTTATTAGCAGTACATACGGATCAGTGGATTGCAAAAGGCCAGACTATAATAATAGCCTATAAATAAAATATACATGTTTATTAGTTAATTTGTAAAATATAGTACAATAAATGATTTAATAAGTTGAACACTGTAAAAGATTCGTTGGTTGTTTGAATTTATTATTACTGTGAAATTGAAATTTCGTTTAATTATACTGTTTTGGGAAACAAACTCCCTTCAATACTCGTAAATATTTATAATTTGAGAATTTATAATGTTTTTAATCAATTTGGAATATGATTTTTCCTTGATAAATGTTTTTTTAACTTGAAACGATAATAATTTTTATTGATATATATATATATATATATATATATATATATATAATTCTAATAATGAAACCAATCAAAGAAAGAATTTTTTTTTCTAAAAAAAAAAGATGTCTCACGAAAACCTTAGTGTGCTGGCAAATCTTTTTTAATATACCAGAGGCCGACAGCCGAAAAATACTTACCCGATCAGTGTTTTGATCACATTAGAGAGACATGGATCACCTGTCCCTAATGTCGACCTGTGAGAAAGCAACCATGAAAGTTGAGACGATGGTATGAGTTGAAGAATGGCAATTGTAGGTGTTTGGATTTAGATACAGGAAAATAAGAAAGTGAAAGAGGAAAGCATTGAAGATATTTTTTTATTGTAAATGACTTCTATGAATTACAAACTAAACTTGGGTACTTTATAGCCCAATTATAACAACCTAATAACAACTCAAAATAGATTTAACAAACTAACAACTAATAACAATTTATTTCTAACATTCTCCCTACTTTCTCAATTTTCTTGAGCTTTAGAACTTGACTCGTTCAACATTCTCCACTTGGTTGGTTCAACATTCTCCAAACTGTTATTTTGTTCTTTCCGAAATTCTTTCAAAATTCATTTTCCCTTAACTAGGCGGTCTATCGAGAATCGAAAATATTATTCTTTCTTTCGTGCTACTTACTCACCTTCCTTTTCTTTTTCTAAAAGAAAAATCTTCATCCAGAATTTCATCAAAACTTTTTTTTCTTCTTTAGGACTATACCTCTTCTCACTTATTCAAAGCAAGACAGTTAAGCTTCGAGCTCCCGGATGCAATCTGAAGCTTCTCTTGGGCAAGAAAACACCGTATTTTGTCTGGTTAAGGAAGGCAAAGTTGTTAAACTCTTAACCCTCCCCAGAGATTTTTGTCATGAACACTTGACTGTGAAGCTTTCAAGTCTCATGTTACCTTGTGTGGAAGCAGCAGACCATGAAGAAATTACAACAAAGAGTTCTTGATCAAACAAACCAGTAATGCCCAAATGGAGTAAGAAACTAATACTCATAACTCGGCAAATCACAAGTCTCGCTCAACCAATTGATGCCAAACTCAAAACAATTACGAGAGAATGAACCAAGTGCAGTCGTGAAACAAAGCAATCAAATATCAATGTGAACTAAACTGAAAAAAAATCTGATACTTAAAAAACAGCAACACTATTCTGTGTAGCATACCCTTCTATACTCTCATGATCAACATTGACTTCCAGTAGCAATCAGAAATTGTTGCTTCCTTGAGGGGAATTGTGCAAACAACCAAGACAAATAGACGAGCCTCTTGAATCATTGGAAGCTTTATTCTAAGCGGCTCAGAGTCCCAAAATGGACCAAGATGGGATATAACGGAGGGAGAAGAAAAGCATCTCTTTGTAGCAAACAATCAAGAAGATGGTAGGCACAAACTGTTAAGATAACACTTAAGATAAATTCATGGTGAAATTGCAGCAATCGTGAAAAAAAAACAGAAAAGAACATCCTCCGAGAGCACATGAGATGGAATCATCAAAGGCATGAACACATATATGAATCAACGATCGCCATAGACAATTGATTGATGGGGCAGTAACGGAAACAATAGACATCGGCACACCAAGGAATGAACGATCACAACAAACAAATGGAGATACAATGGACACGATGAACAGACAAGACAATGATAGATCTGAATAAGCGAGCAATTTGTAGCAGTGACGGCGAAGGCATCAACAACAACAAGAGCTGCAACGGCGACATCAACTAGCATCAGATGAAGGCGAAAGAAAAGAAAATGATGAAGTTTCAGATTTAGATCGGCGAGAGAATGGCAGATGAATATGATCATTAACGGCGACGGAAGCAGTCACAAAGGCATCAAGACCGTTTGGCCTCTGATACCATGTGAGAAAGCAGTCATGGAAGTTGAGACGATGGCATGAGTTGAAGAATGGCAACTGTAGGCGTTTAGATTTAGATACAGAAAAATAAGAAAGTGAAAGAGGAAAGCACTGAAGATATTTTTTATTGTAAATGACTTCTATGAATTACAAACTAAACTTGGGTATTTTATAGCCCAATTATAACAACCTAATAACAACTCAAAACAGATTTAACAAACTAACAACTAATTACAATTTAAATTTATTTCTAACACGACCTACGTGTTCAAAAGAAAGTGAAGAATACAATTAGTATTAATGATGGAAGAAGGTCCTTAGATTTAGAGAAGACGGATACTATCGCCATGGAGGAGGAACCTGGTGTGGAGGGTATCGATAAGGATAACGGACATGTTGCTGCCACGGTTAACCCGTCTGAGATGGAGGATTGAATTGAGGAGTCAAACGCTAAAAAGGCAACCTATGCTAGTATGGTGGCTGATCCTTTGAAGACGGGGAAGACTCTGAATAGTGGATGTGGAATTAATGATGATGTAGTGATGGTCGTTGAGGAGGATTATATCATAGATCGATCTGGCGAGTTTCCCACGATCAAGTTTTTTGAGAAAGTCCATGATTAGATTGATAGAAGTATGAGGAATGTTATAATTGTCAGACTTCTGGGTCGTATGATAAAATATAATATAAGGTTCTCTTGATTCGTGTGAACGCGATTTGGAAGCCAATCGGAGAGATACATTTGACGAATCTTGACAACAACTATTTCCTGGTTAAGTTTGCGGAGGAGATTGCTTATGTCAAAGTTCTCACTGAAGGGTCTTGGACAATGAATGGAAGCTACCTAACGGTTTAACCATGGAGCAGATCATTTTCCACATCTGAGAAACACCCATCTCATGTTATTGTTTAGTTTCGATTACTGGGACTACCTTATCGCTATACAAAGGACTTGTTTCGATTAATAGCTACCGTTGTTGGAAATGTAGTTAAAATTGATTATAATACACAAGTGGGTGAAAGGGGAAAATTTGCGAGACTTGAAGTGTTGGTCGACTTAAATAAACCGTTTATTCCATGCATTGGAATAGATGGTTTCGAG